CCTTCATGAATCTAATTAATTAACATTTGCTCATTTTCCGCTTAGATGACTTAATTTGGCATCAAGAATTGAATAGGTGTGGAAAGGGGAGGGGGACCGGATGGGTGGGGAGGGGGTATTGAGCTGATTCTGTTTTCAAAAGTGCCCTCCCCCCTAGAACCAGCATATTGTTGGAGAACACTTTTCTTATAGAATTTGTTTTTTTTATTGAGTTAGCACTAGTTGTACCTTGTATTTTTATGACAATAAAAGATCTGTATCTGTATCTTCATTAATCAGATCTTGAGTGGGTGGGGGAAGCAAAGAAAAACATTAATCTACCAGCCTAGGTACCACCGCACGCTCTGATTGGCCACATTACAAAATGACCAGCCAAACTAATAATGTTCATAGGCCGATTTTTTTTTAATGAATTTAAAATCATCAAAAATCACTATAATCTAACATATTTAGAAACAAGAGCATAATTACAAGTAACAAATAGTATATAATGTACCAATATTACTTGCTATATGTACTATTTATAATATATTTGATGTAAAATTACTAGGTATTTTTCATTCGATCCGTGGTCAGCGCTCGCACAGCTAAAAGCCAAACTTTTAACACTACACAGAATAACACCACAAAGTGACTACAAAATGGAGTTGGAAACCCATGGCCAAATTGCACTTTCACATGTACCAATTTTTCTAAATCTTGCGTCAAATGATGCAATATAACATACTAATTATGGACCTTATTATCAAAATAATGGACACATTTTCGTTTAATGAAAAATAAGCGTGTTTTATGATCGTCAATTTTCGAATGTTGCAAACCTTGATATAACGTCGGACAAAAAAATCTGGAAAAATAACACAGCTGTAGAATAACTTCCGCTTGATATTTTGAGGTCAAAACTTCAGCAGTAACCAATCAAAACCATAATTTTACGAATTAATTACTAACAGCTATGCTGGGCCGCCGCTGGCTCGAGTCACAAATTTACACCGACAACAAAAGTGGGCGTGGCAACGTAACTTGCAGGTACCTATCATTTATTAGCTTTCGCCAAATGGGCCATTAATGGGATTGGATTGGATTTATTCGGTGTAAACACCGAGGATAGCCCACGAAAGTCTAGAAGAAGACTTATTTCCAGTGGGGTCCTTCTGGTGGTGATTAGACAGTACACCGGGAGACAATGCCCTACTCTTTTCCGAAGAGTGTACTGTGTTCTTTAACGTGCACATGGGCCATGCACACGGGACCAACGGCTTAAACGTAGCATCCGAAAGACGGTGCGCTATGTAACTTGTATTTCAGCCCTTTAGCTGAAACACAAGGAGAGGCAGCGATGGGAATTGAACCGGGGACCTAGAGATCTCCATGGTTCAGCACACACACAGTGGCTACCACCAGATTAGCCGACTGACCGAAGCTGCTCTCTATTTCCATAAATGCGGATGGATTTTTCATGTTTGATTTTGCGATAGGTCTGCGAAGTAACATAGCAGGCACCGAAAACCGAAATCACACATAAAAATGGCCGACATGATATTTGCTGTTGCTAGTATTGACACTTATGAAATATAATATTTCATTGGAATTATTTCAAATCTGTTAAAAAAATTATTCTGACCGAGATTTTGGCAATTAAACAAACATATCTCAGGCCTACTCGACAGTGTGTGAGATGCGAAGTACTAAAACCAATTTCATTAGAGAGGGCGCACTTTATTGACTGTATAAAGTATACATAAAAGCAAGGGCATTCGAGCGGATGTGATCTACAACCTCTGAATTTGCCTAGTAACGAAGAATTCGTCGAGAAAATTATAATCTCCTATGAGAAATAGTCTGTATTTCTCATTTTTTAAATTCTTTCGCGTAAAACTAAAATTTATGCCAATATTTTTTCTTAAAAAAAATCTTTTTTAGTGAAATTTTGCCGGGAATGGGGCTTTAATATACTGTATAACCAATTTATTATGCAGTAGTTATGATTTGGCGCAACTATTTTCCTAGCAATTTTCTGTTAAAATTTTAGCTATTTTTTGAGGTATGATCCATGCAGTTGAATATTTTTTTACAGTATGATGTCAGATGACTGAATGAAATTAAACAAAATTACTGTCTAATAGACAATTCATTTGATTTATTTAGTCATTTTGTAAAATTGTAAAATATAGAGTATATTCCACTCTTGTGTGCATGAGTTTAAGCAGTAAAGAAATGCATGACTTTTAACAACATTTTACAAATGCAAGCAGGACCGCAGGAAAACATAATATGACTCACTCACAAAAAAAATTTTTTTTTTTTTGTTGAGTCATATTACTAGGCTAGTACTGCATACTCTAACTAATACAGTACCACCGGGAACCAAAGAGGTGCAATAACAGTTACCACCCGGATTATGTACTTGCAAGTAGTAATTGCTTGTTAGAGAGTAAAAGCGAGTTTCTAAGCCCACATCTATGTAAAAGGGGTTTTTGAAAATCCCAAGATGGTTCATCATGAGTTTCTAAATCAAACGAATGTGCTTCATCTGCGTGGTCGTGGATGCATTTATTTTTCCCCAGACAGATTCAATGTTTTAAGTCATAAAAAATGAAATAAAAGCACTTGATTTTTTTGCTTTTTGCCCAAATGTCAGCTTCAAGGTTTTATTCAGTGTGTCATTCAATTGAATTTAAAAATGTACAAAGTAAATGAGATTAATGTGAATATATTTCATTCCACCAATCGGAACATTTCCCAAAGTTCTTTTCCAGATTTTTTATTGATGAGACACAGTGATCATTAAAAATGGACGATGAACGCTTGGTTGAGGTAATTTATTTCTTTACATTAAGAATTGAAGTAAAGTGCTATATTTTATTTCAACAGATCCCAATTACGACAATAACTAATTAAAGAAATGAACTTTTTTTGGTTTTTTTTTTTTTTTTTTTTTTAATGAAAATAGAGTTAAAATCTTTATACCACCTTGATGACATTTTAATATTCTCAAAATGAAATTTAAAATTTAACAATACATATTCATAAAATAGAAAATCTATTGGTTTTAGATTGTAAAACATATCAATATCACTTCAACAATTGTATATGCTTAATTCAAATGGTCATGAAAGTTGTTAATTAAAATTCAAGATTCAATAACTTTTGGTCCATAAAATACTTAGAAAATTTTAAAAAGAGGAAATTATGAAATCTTCTTTTATTGACTGTCTGTTATGTATTGTACAATAGAACTTCGTAAGTAATTTGTGCCAGCATATGATATCTTAAGTTCAGAGTATGTTGAAATTATTCAAAAGTCTGTTGAAATTATTCAAAATATAAGGTGAAAATATTGATCTTTACAGCATTTGTATTTTTCACACACACAATAGTTTAAACATAAAAAAGTTTAAAAAAAAATAAATTATAGCTCAAAAATACACATTTTACAATACGTCCTTTTTTTTCTATTAGGACCTGAAGTTTAAGGAGATGTGCAAATTACAGATCTGTGATATTAAAACAGAAGAACCAGTTCCTCTTGAACGGTACAATCTTGTGGTTGCATGCAACAAATATGGGTACCTTTACATTGGATATGACAAAGGTAAAATACTCTTAGTGATGGTCTTGCTCACAGGGTTTCAAGTAAGTTCAGAGAAGCCACTTCCTAGAGATCTGCTTTAATGAACTCGCTTAATACTGTACATTGTATATTTTGCTGCATTGGTTAATACTTACGTAAAGTACAGTGCATGCATCATTCTGAATGGACCTTTCCAAGTGTCAATCAAACCTAGCAAATGACAAATCAGAATGTCTCACAAACACATGTCTTGTCCCACAAATGCAACCGTTAGCTGCCGTGCGTCCATGCGAGGAAATCCCGATCCGGATACCAACGATATGATGATCGAATCACTGGCCAATAAGGAACTGGAAATTGTAAATGCGTACGTGTGATTGGTTGATGAGAGAAACGCCCTCAACTTGCTAACCAATAGTGCTTGCTAACCGTTAGCGCTAACCGATCGGGCGTTCTCACGCAGGTGCTAACGGTTAGCTCCCGATCCGGATACCAGGGCTCTCGTGAGAACCAGGCTAGTATGTTTTATGTGACCTAATAGGAGCAATATCCAAGTAGTGAGTAGGGGTCCATTTTACAGGAGATGAGTTTTTTTTTCAGAAGATTTTTGCTTGCATGATTTTGGGAGACTATTGCAAATTTACAGAAGGCTCTTGCAATTTACTGTAGACTCTCTTTGCACCCCTGTACAACACTTTGTCATATTGAAATTAATTCAAATTCAGTATTCTTCAAATTTTAGTCTGTTTTCTAGGTGAAGATGGGCTTTGATAACAACTTGAACTTCGTGATAATAATTGATTTTCTAATAAATACAGTATATATTGACTTTTGTAAATATGTAAGATTTTAAAATTTATTTTCTTAATTTTTTATACCTTATAGTAAAGCAACTCAATGTTTTCAATGGAAACTGTTTTATTTCTCATATTATTCTCCATTGTTGCAGCCATCAATATCATTGTCATGTGCATAATTT